TACTACGGATGGCTTGAACAGCCTTTCCAAGAAGATGTTGGGGGGACTACATCGCGTTTTGCGCCGATGCGTGCCAGGACATCTGCCGCCTGATTATTTTCCCAGGCTATATGGTGAAATTCAAGCCCTTCGAACCGAGCTGACATTTTTAGGACGGCGTTGCGGTAAGCTGCCATTTTTGGATCCTTGGCATCGAAGTCTCCATTTATTTGGGATATTGCGAGGTTCGAGTCCCCACGCACCTCTAGGCGTTGAATGCCCATGGATACTGCTATCCGGAGACCATGTAAAAGGGCCTCATATTCGGCTGCATTGTTGGAGTCTGTGTACATAATCTGGAGTACGTATTGAACTGTGTCTCCTGTGGGGGACGTCAAAACGATACCAACCCCTAGTCCGGTCAACATCTTGGAGCCGTCGAAATGCATGATCCAATTTGAATATGTGTCGTACTCTTTAGGGAGTTCGACCCCCGTCCATTCTGCGACGAAGTCGGCCAAAACTTGCGACTTGATGGCTCGCCATGGCTTATAAATTATGTCGAACGGGAGGAGCTCAATGGCCCATTTTGCAATCCGGCCCGTTGTGTCACGGTTGTTTATAATATCGTTAAGTGGTACTTCCGAGGCTATTGTTATTGAACACTCTTGAAAGTAGTGTCGTAGCTTCCGGGATGCCATGAATACCGCGTACGCAATCTTTTGATAATGTAGGTACCGTGATTTGCACGGAGTGAGGACAGTGGACACATAATAGACCGGCTTTTGAAGGGGGAATTTGTGTCCGTCCGTTTCTCGTTCGATGACGAGCACTGCGCTTACAACCTGATGTGTTGCTGCAATGTACAATAGCATTGGTTCGCCAATGTTTGGCGCGGCCAGGACTGGGTTTGTTGCCAATATGACTTTTATTTCGTCGAGTCCGGCCGTGGCTGCATCCGTCCATTCGAAGTGTTCGGTGCGCCGAAGGAGGCGGTAAAGGGGTAGGGCCTTTTCTCCCAAGCGGGGGATAAAGCGGCTTAGAGCCGCCACGCATCCGGTTAACTTTTGTATTTGTTTGTGGTCCTTTGAGATATCCAATTGTGACAGAGCTCGGATCTTGGCTGGATTTGCTTCAATTCCTCTACCGGATACAATGAAGCCCAAGAGCTTTCCGGCTGGAACGCCGAAAATGCATTTTTCCGGGTTGAGCTTGATGTCGTATGTTCGGAGGTTATCAAATGTGAGCCTCAAGTCGTCTACTAGAGATTCGACATGTCTTGTTTTGACGACCACATCATCTACATATGCCTCCACTGTTTTGCCGATATGGTTTGCCAGACATGTCTGAATCATGCGCTGATATGTTGCGCCGGCGTTTTTGAGCCCGAAGGGCATTATGTTGAAGCAGAATGGGTCGTATGGTGTGATAAATGCTGTTGCGGCTTGGTCTGATTCTGCCATCTTGATTTGATGGTAGCCGGAATATGCGTCGAGGAAACACAACGAATCGTGTCCTGCGGTAGCGTCGATAATTTGATCGATGCAGGGGAGGGGGAAGGGATCCTTTGGGCAAGCCTTGTTAAGGTCTTTAAAATCAACGCACAGACGCCAGGATTTGTCCTTTGGTACCATCACCAGGTTTGCTAGCCAGTCCGGATGTTTTATATCTCTGATGAATCCGGCCTCCAATAGCTTTGCTAGCTCCTCTCCCATGGCATGTCTCTTAGTTTCGGAAAAACGCTGAAGAGCTTGTTTGAGAGGTTTGAATCCTTTTAGGATATTTAAGCTGTGCTCGGCCAGCCTGCGTGGGATTCCTGGCATGTCTGAAGGGTGCCAGGCGAAAATGTCCCAGTTCTCTCGTAGGAACTCTCGCAGTGCGGCGTCTACATCAGGGTTTAACTGTGCCCCGATGGAAGCTGTTTTATTGGGGTCCGTTAGATGGACCTGGAATTTGACTATTTCGTCCGCCGGTTTAAAGGAGGTGGACTTGGATCTTTTGCCGAGTACCATATCGTCCCTATTCACCGTGGAGCGCAGCGCAGTCAGTTCCTCGGCCGCTAGGGCTTCGGATAGTGCCTCGAGGGCCAGTGCGGCTGTCTTGTTTTCGGCGCGGAGTGCTATGTATGGATCACTAGCGAGAGTGATGATCCCGTTAGGCCCGGGCATCTTGAGCTTCATGTACCCGTAATGGGGTATTGCTTAGAAGATTGTAAACGCTTCCCGTCCTAGCAGAGCGTGATAACCGCTGCTGAACGGAGCCACATGGAACGTGACCTCTTCGGACCTGTAATTATCTGCGTGCCGAACACCACATCTAGTGTGATTTTTCCTGTACAGCGTGCTTTCCGACTGGGGATTATTCCTTTAAAGGTTGTGCTGCTTCGCTCAATGCGGTTCTAGTCTATTTCCATTTTTTGAAGGGTTTCCTCATAAATGAGGTTCAATCCGCTGCCGCCGTCCATGAGTACCTTGGTAAGACGAAAGCCGTCCACTATTGGATTGAGGACCAATGCGGCTGGTGCTCGGGCTGTTCGGAATTTAGATTCATCACTGGCGTTAAAGGTAATAGCCGTGTAACTCCATGGGTTTATTGTTGCTACTTAGTAGACTTCGGCAAGGCTGCGGAGTGTCCTTTTTCGCATATTATTTGATGCGAAAGTCTCGAAGACTGTTAATACCGTATTGGTGTCTCTGGGGTGGCTTTCTGTGGCCTCCGGAATTAGGAGATCTTCGCCAATTTTGGCCACCTGCCGGAGTATCCAACATGCTCTAAGGCTATGAGTTGGTGTGGCGTCCTTTGTACTGTGAATTTTACAGGGTCCATTAAGCCATCCTTCTAGTACGGTTCCATGCCCTGTAGAGGGTTTTTGCTTTTTGGTGTTTGACCCGGGTGTCTGGTGATGATGCACCCTTTTATTTCGGACTGGGTTTGTATTCAGGGCCGGATCGTCCCAAAATTTTATTTCGGTTTTCCACGCGCTTTCCATTGCACAGTACTTTCGTAAAATGGACGCCAAGTCAGCGAAGTGTGTAATATCACGGCGACTTATGGCGTTGAGGATTCCCTTGTCCGTGCAATTATTGCAGAAGATTGAGATTGCGTCTTCCTCGCGGCAGTCTCTTATCCTGTTCCTAACCAGGAGGAATCTGACCCAGTAATGATGTACTATTTCTTCGGACTCTTGCCTGATTTGGGATAGATCGCTTATATTCGGGTGGGTGGGTGGAATTAAATCCGAAGCCTCACCCAATCTGAGGCTCAGAGGCCGAGGAATTTCTGAACTCGAAAATTTGGATTCCTGGATGTTGTCCAATGAATCCAGCCCGTCGCCTGACTCTAAGTTCAGGTCTTGAGTGATATCCTCCCCTCCGCGGGTATCCGGCTTGGAGGGATCGGGAATCCGGACGTAGCTAGTCCTTAAGATAGATGAAGGGTCGCCGCACTGTCCCTCTACCACGACAACGTGATGGGTGACTTGGGGAGAGTTAATCTCTTTCAAATCGGGTTTAGGCCCAATCTGGTCGTAATCCGTAGCGACTCCCAGGGCGGGATGCGATCCAAGAGCTCGTTTATGGAGGAGAGCTCTATTGGATCTAACTGCTCGGCGAGTTCCGAGCTGACATGAAGATTGTTTTCGATGGCTCGAGAGGTCATCGTCGGCGCAGAAGTCGAACAGGCGGTCATAAGAAAACCACCTAGCCGGAGGGTTTGGCCGACAGCCAAAGCTCCCTTAGCAATGGTGCCGTCTTTAAAAACGGGGCGAGACATCCTTCCTGATGGCGACGACACAAAGGAACTCTCAATAAAAGCACCAATGTTGGTGCCAAAACCGGCGGATCTCGGGTAGGGGGTCCCGAACTGTGCGTCTAGGCCGGATGGTAACAGAAGGCAAGGGACACGAAGTTTTACCCAGGTTCGAGCCCTCTTGATGGAGGTAAAACCCTACGTCCTGCTTGATTAATATTGATGATATGGGTAGTACAAGAGTAGATCTACCACGAGATCGGAGAGGCTAAACCCTAAAAGCTAGCCTATGGTATGATTGTTGTTCTATATGTTGTCCTACGGACTAAAACCCTCCGGTTTATATAGACACCGGAGAGGGTTAGGGTTACACAAAGTCGGTTACAATGGTAGGAGATTTACATATCCGTATCGCCAAGCTTGCCTTCCATGCCAAGAAAAGTCCCTTCCGGACACGGGACGAAGTCTTCAATCTTGTATCTTTATAGTCCAGGAATCCGGCTGAAGGTATAGTCCGGCCATCCGGACACCCCCTAATCCAGGACTCCCTCAGCGAGCATGATGACCGGGGTGGAGATCATGAAGGTGGATCTCAATACCGTGTCGCCAAGGAAGAGGCCGTGGTTCTAGAAGTTGCAGGCCAACATGCTCAAGTTCACCGACGAGTGATCTCGTGGCCGCGAGTGACTTCCTTTTTTGTATGTCGGCTTGTGTGCTGGCCTGACCACGGGGCCGCGATGGCGTGATCGAACTCAAGTTCCACTTTTTTGTGTGCCGATTCAAACAAACAAAAAACGAACAAAAGTTGCTCTACATATTTGATGTCGTTCCTTTGATGAACTGCATTGGAGTCCATGTCAAAGAAAAAAAGAAACGGACTGCAAGGAAAACCAAAGGAAAACTAAATCGAGTCCGGCAAGGTACCAACCGATGAACCGAGTGGAACCGTGCAACCGATTACTACCCGTAAACGGCGGCGAACTGGCAAGCAACAAACACAAAACAGAAGTGCACGTCTGCGCCGCAAAGGAACGCCAACCCGAACTCACCCACAGCCCCGCCCGCCAGGCAGATCCCAGACGGAGATCAGGCCCCGTCCGATCCGCCCGCGACCTTTCCCCCAACCCCGCCCCGCTCGTCGGCGGCTGTCTGCGCCGCCGCCCGCCGCCCGCCGCGGCGTCGCTTCCCAAGTCCAACAACCTCCCGATTCGGCCGCGCGGTTGCAATTCCCCACTGACGTCTCCCGAATCATCGCGCCCCCGACGGCCGCGGGGATGAACCGGATCCCGTCCGTCTCGCTGCGGGGCGACGCGGCCGAGGCGGGCGCGGCGGCGGCGCCCGACCCCGCGGCGCTGGCGCGGTGGGCGCGGGCCTTCTGCATCATCCGCTTCGACCTGGAGCGCGGGCAGCTGGTGGAGGCCTGCTTCCCGCCGGACGCGCTCGCCCACGGCGGCCTCGACCGCCTCGTCGCCTTCTCCTCCTTCCCGGACTCCATGTCCCACCACCTCCCGCGCCACCGCTCCTCCGTCCACGACTCGCTCTTCTCCTTCCGTCTCCCGGACCCATCCCCTTCCGCCGCGGGCTCCCGCCGCGGCTTCCTCTACGGCTTCGTCTTCAACCGCCAGCGACAGGACGAGCGCCTCCCCCGCGGCGGCGAGCAGAAGTCCGTTGTCATACTCTCACACGCGCCCTACTCTTCCCTCTTCCGCCTGCTGCTGCAGATCCTTGGCCCCCTCTGCTTCGACATAGGCCACAACGCGCTGACAATGGTGGCGTCGCACGTTGCCGCCTGGCCGGCACCGTCACCAGGGTGCCCCATGGAGCTCCCCATTGGCAGCGCCGCGCTGCGGGTGCACCTTCCGCCCGCGGCCGACGACCCTGGGCCGCCGCCTGCGCTGTTGCCGGCGAACCCCTCGGTGCCGTATGGGCTCTTCCACGATGCTGATCTGTTTGCTGCATTTCGTGGCTTGCTCCTCCACCTGTGGACTCTCTGGGAACTCATGGTTGTTGGTGAACCCATACTGGTTGTGGCGCCATCACCACCTCAGTGCTCCGAGGCTGTGGCTGGGCTTGTTAGCCTTGTTGCTCCAATCTTGTATAGTGTGGACTTCAGGCCGTACTTTACTATTCATGACCCGGACTTCGCTCGCCTTAATGCACTTGCAGAAGGTGAGGTGTTCCCACCGATGGTGCTCGGGGTGACGAACTTGTTTTTCCTGAGGAGCCTTAAGAGTGTTCCAAATGTGGTGTCCGTGGGAAGCCCGAATCCAGATTCTACTAGGGTGCTCCCAGCAGGTGGGCAATCACCAACATCAGCAAATGGATCCAATGGGACACCTGTGAGGTTCAAACTTGAAAAACTTGCAATCAATAAGTTTTCGCCCACTGGTCTATTGAATTCAATCAAGTTGAGAAGAGAAGGCCCTCTTTCCCTCATGACAGAGCATAAAGAGGCGCTATGGAGCACATATGTGCCAACTACAAAGCCCGACACCTCTGTTCTAAATAGACTCATTGATGCCGGTGTGTCTCCGAGAATTGAGGAGTCCATGTCAGTCGTCAACAATGAGATATTGAGGCGGCATTTCTTGGAGTTAACGACCAACTTCCTTGCGCCTTTTGGGCCATATCTGAGAACTACAACACCACTGGAAGGGAGTTCTCCATTTGTTGATCCACCATTACTTCCACCATTTCACGCAGATGAGTTTGTCAATGGTTTGGCTTCTAGAGGTCCAGGGAAATTTTTGTCGAAAAGGATGAAGTCCAATTGGTTGGATTTATATAGGTAAGCCGTAAGCCAGAACCACATTTATTTGGCAAAACATTTTATGAATTTTTAGTTTGAATTACTTCGCAAAACAGGGATTCACAAGCTAACATTTCCATTTTTGCTTCACCAATGATTTTTATCAGAAAATTCTTGGAAGGCCCTAACTTCATGCCTTGGTTCCGACAAAGACGTTCTGCTGCAGAGCAAGATCAGATAAGGTTATGGAGGCAAGCTCGCATGAATGTTGATATTGAGAAGTTAATGTCAAAGATGTCTGAGTTGGAGAGGATTGATTCTTTTAATGTTATTGAGCGGTATCTTCTCAAAGAGATGGAGGTAATATTTGTTCTGATGCTTTCTTAAGTTAACTGTCACTTATAAAAATAAATAGATCGTTAATAGTTATGGAGATTTAAGTAAGAAATCCTTAATAGTAGTCGTTTTCTGTTAGGACAAACTAAGAAGATAAGCTCATGAACAACTCACATTATTGATAATTCAGTATATGTGCATAACTAAGACTGATCGATCTAAATCATAAGCTTTTTTCTTTTGACAAGGACTGCCTACACCTGCTATAAGCTTTAGGCCAGCACGAAAAGCAGGATGAATGCCTCAGTTCAACGGGCACATAAAGGAAGTTAAGGGAAATAGGATAGCCATTTTGGAGATGACACTTTAGGAAGTTATGATAAGATCTCTAAGTAGTTCTATGCAAGAAGAGGTCTATCCGTAGAGGACACTAGCAGCCTGCCAGGTCACCACGACAGAGATTGAAAAGAGAGTTTGAGTTTGTTTAGTTAAGGAAGATTTTGAGTTGGTTAGTCAATGCATGGGTCTCCAATTAAGCTAATTTCAGTTTGTTTAGTCATGGTCTCATGGAGTCTAGTACTGGTCAAGGCTGTGCTATACAAGCAAGTTGATGTATCTTTTGATCGATCAAAGCAAAGAATCAATAGTGTAAGTCTTAATAGCCTCAGAACCTCACTGCCGCGGTAGGGATTAGGCCCTGCAGTGATAAATTAGGGTGAGTGCCCATCCTCGATCTTTGTCCCCCGGACCCTTATCCTACCAAAATCCATATCAAAATAAGAATTACACTCGCGGTCATATATCCTATTGGTAGATAGGATGCAACCTAACATGTATGTTATGCCTTGTACTTATGTCTACTTCCTTGGTTTGACTGAATTATCCTTTCCTCTTATGATACATTGAACTTTAGGAACTAAACTTTGGAAGTTCGGTAATGATATGTTATAATGATTATTTGAGTGATTCCATAGTTTACTTTTCTGTAGCATAGGGCTAAATGTCGTAATACTCAGCAGCTCTCCTAAAAAATGATTCAGATCACTGAGACTTGCCACATATACTAAAAGGAACACGACTGGTTTTCTTGCATTTAATCAGATGCACCCTTAATACTTTTTTTTTCTTGAATATACACCCTTAATACTTCATGCAATACATGCAATTTCCTGCAATAAAATCCAATGAGGTTCCTACTTTATAGCACACCAATCTGTACTCTATTATGAGTTTGCCATTTAATTAGCTTACAGGAATGTTGCACCAGAAAACATTAATCAGTCTATGCTGAACTACAGATTAACTAGGAAATGATCATTTTGAGTATGAACTATTCTGGTATATGAATACGGTTTTAGTTGAACGAACCACATGTTTTGTCTGACTGGTTTTGTTGATTTTTTCTTGCAAGAAATCAAACCGAGTGGCAATGGAATAGAGTTAAATGTTAAAGTCATGAAGTTTAGCATAACATGACTGCACTGGGATTTCGTTCTGTCTTCACCTGCGAATAACCGCCTTCGGTAATCGGTAGTAACGGCACTGGGTTTTGATGTAATAAACAATAAAGCATTAGGCCAACTCCAAATGGCAACCCCCAACGGACGTCCGTTTTGTCCGGATTTTGTCCATTTTGGTCGGCAAAACAGACACGCACGTCCGCTAGCGGTCGTCTGGCCGTCGGTGCGCCCAACTGGCCGCCGCATCCCAAATATTGTCCGCTTTTGGACTTGCAAATTTGACCCAAATCTAACCCAAATAGACATTGCAAATAATTTAAAAACATTAATATAATACATAAACGTCCACAAAGTCCAGTCCAACACATTTTAACTAAACTTAAAATTAAAAGGACACTAAAAAAACTAGATAAGGGCCGTCGCCGCCACGGCCGTCGTCGTTTAGTTGCCGTCGTGGTCGTCCTTGTCGCACGTGAGGTCGATGTAGGGCGGTGGCGTCCATAGGTGGGCTGGTGGCCCCTGCCAGGCGGGAGGCGCCTGCGGAGGCGCCCGCACAACCTCTAGCCGTGGCGGCGACGGTGACCACGTGTCCGCGCCCACCCACACAGGCGGCATGGACATGTACTCCGTCGTGCACGGCACTGTCTTCGTCTACGAGCAGGACTGGCCGACCAAGGCCGGGTTTCATGTCGCGGGCTCCTTCGGCACCTCCTTCTGCATGTCCTCCATGGCCTCCTCCTTGACCACGGCGTCGAGCTCCGGGGTGCCGACATCGCCGGCCGCGGAGAGGGCCATCATCTCTCCGAGGTCCTCCCATTGGGCCTCGTGGGTGCGGATGGAGTCCTCCATCACCCGCCTCATGAGCTTCGCCTCCTCCTTGGCAGTCATCGGAGGGGGGGGGGGCAGCGAGGGGGAAGGCGTGAGCGTCAGGCTGCGAACCCGCGCACGCCCGTGTGTCTGGGGCGGGCTGAGAGCACGCCTGTGGCGGGCTCTGAGCACGACCGACAAAGTAGGATTGCTGCCGCAGGTCGTGCTCATCCCAAAACCACGTGTCCCAGAGTGGCGAATCGACGGCGTACCTGCGGTAGTTGACGAGGTCGGCTGGTAGGCGGGGGCGACGGCGATAGATCTCCTCGCGGCGAGCGCGGTCGCTCAATGGGATCGGAGGCACGGGCACGCGGTAGGCCGAGAGGTGCCAGTTGTTTGGGAGGTGCACGTCGCTCCATGGCAACGGCGTGCCCGTCTCCCAATACCTCTGGCAGATCTCGGCCTTCACGTATGGCCGCTGCCGAGGCAGGGCCGCCGATGGGGAGATGGCGAATGCTGGAGGAGGTGGAGGAGGGGTGGAGTGGCTGCGGTTGTGGCGGCCGGAGGAGGACCCGGCCTCGTTGTCGTGCTTCCCCCTGCCGGGGATCCACTTCCAGACCATTGCGGCCGGCGAGGTGGAAGAGCGGCGGCCGGGGGGCTAGGGTTTGCTCGTGTCGGGGCTCAAGGAGGCACGCGGCTCTGGAAGTGGAAGTCTGTGGACTGGCCGGTCCATGGCTTCCACATTAAAAAAGACGACCGGGTGGATGGGTGGCTGGCAAGTAGGCCCGCCCACTCGTGCGCCGTAAATGTGGGCGGTGGGACGTAGGTGGGCGGTCGACGGGTGGGCCCGAGGCGGACGAGGAGCGGGCGCGTGGACGCCCGTTCACCGTTCGTCTGGACGCAAACCGGGCACAAGTTTGCGCCGGAAATGGGTCGAGCCGGACGCCAACGGACAAATTTTGCGGATGGGGTCGTGCATTGGGCCGGCGCTTCTGTCTGTTTGGGCCAAAGCGGACATGGCCGGACAGAATGGGGTCTAGCGTTGGAGTTGGCCTTACAAGCGTATAACTTTTTGCTGAATAATGATGTGACACTTCAATAATATCCTTTGGTAATTAGGGCTGTTTGATACCAGTCTACCATTCTCTCCTGTATTTGATAGACTGGAGGAATGCATGGACATGAACGGTTGAAGATTTCCACCTTATATTATTAGTTTTGACAGCCTAACCTCAAGAATTTCGATTTACTGTAACAGCCCCCATGATATACTTCATTACAACAAGAGGGGCCTTGCCATTGTTTAGTGATATATTTTAATAGTTGCATGTTAAAATGTTTCAGCATATAGAGATCCAAAGGAAATATCTTGGACATAGCTTGTCAACATACCTATTCTGCCCTCAATAATTTGTTGAAAATATCCTGATGTTTATTTTCCAATTTCTGCCGTCCAGAATTCTCGGACAGGTACTGCTGAATCAATAGCAGCATGCCAGAAACTGAAGGCAGATCTCCAAGCAGCATTCAGTGTCCTCCCAAAGGACATGCAGCAGCTGCTGGTTTCCAACCCTAAACGAGCCGTGCTTCTTCAAGCCAGCCAAGAAAAGGTCTCAGGACTTGGGGACGTTGTCTCCCAGACAAGTTTGTAGCAGTTCTTTTTCTTTGTAATATTAATATTGCGATTCTTTTATACACAAGAGTAAAAAAATTCACACGATTTTTTTATACATGGGTGCTGGCCTGCTGGGTCTGACTCACTTTTATCCACAAAGTCTAAAATTTACATGCCTTTTTTATTTATACATGGTTGCCGGATTTGACTCAAAATGTTCATATTTACCTTTGTGTCTCACTCTGTATGATTCCACTAAAACAAGTTTCCTTGAAGAAATAGTAACATAACTAAATGATTTATTGTCTTGGTTCCTTTTTCATCTGCAGAAACTATACAGCTTAAGAAATCATATTTTACATTATGTAACAGCCCTCAGCATCCTCCATTAAAAATAAACAGGCATGGTTATTCAGATTGAGGATCTTAAGGAGTGATGTTAATGGTTGGTCTTATAGCTGGATGCCCATCAAATTACTGGTAGCTTGCTATTTTGTTCTTTCAATATAGTGATGAATCCATACATCCTCAGCTGTGGGATCAATTGCTGAGTGGCAAAAAAGATTTCCCATTCATCCTTTAGCGAACTTTTTTTCCGGCTCATTCATGTTGATGTATGAATGCTGACATGGTATTCTCAGCTACTCCCTCCGTTCCAAAATAGATGGCCCAACTTTATACTAAAGTTAGTATAAAGTTGGGTCATCTATTTTGGAACGGAGGGAGTAGTAGAAAGCAATGATGCTAAGCTGCAGGTCCATCAGGATTAAGGGCATGTTTATTCACCGACCACACGTTGCCAATGCCAGACCTTATTGGCAGCATGCTTTCTTCAATGGAAATAGATAAATTTTGAGAGCTGGTGTTACCGATCCTTTTTTTTTTTTTTTTGCATATTGTACAAGTTTGTTGGAGTATTAGAAGTTCAGAGCCAACTAAAAAAGACCGATGAAGATTTTCTACGAAGCCTGTATCTGAATGTAGGTTTTACCTTTTATTTGTTGTTGACGATGCTACTCATGTTACAGTTGTGTTCATTAGCGTTTTACTATCAGTACCAGGTAAGTGGTAAGCTGTCAGTTTGGACGGTTAGTTTCTCCGACCCTTTTTACATGAAAGTTGCATGGCCTGGTGTATTTGCGCCTGTTTCTACATTCGCCCAAGAAGTCTTTTCAGAAGACTCGTGACACATGAGAAGTAAAAAGAAACTAACATGCACCAGTGAGGCTGTTGTAGGGTTGGAGATGCAGAACCCAGAATCTAACATGGTTTATTCATTAAGTTTATAGATCAAAGAATCACAACCAAATCACTATCACTTCCTAAAGAAAAACATTGTGATTTGATTAAAGGTACGGCACATCCATGCAGCACAAACCATACACCAAACATATCACAACAAAGATATAACGAACAGCAGCAAATGGCGCAACTGCTGTTAATTCCTGCCAGAACAGTCCAGCAGTCTCCAGCCGCCATACATGGATGATGCTATAAATCCTCAACATACATCAAAGGCCCCTTGATTAGTTCGGCCACAAGAGTAAATCTACCATATTACTCTCTCCGTTCCGAAATACTTGTCTTGCTGTATTTCAAATTTGAACTAAAACCAAGGGAGTAGTTTGCATTCTTATATGGCTCAAAGATGTACAACTACACTGTTTTTAAGGTAGCACGAACTTGACTGATAACCACTACAAACCAAACATTGCACGCAGACACAAACCAATCAACGCTGCAACACAACACTGCAGAAATTCATTTGGCACAAGCAGAGAAAAAAATAGCCAATGAGTAACTAATCAGACTAGAAGTGTATACATCCAACATTCCTACTTCGCAAGAAAGATATCATTGCCCGATCAATTGTCTGACATAACAAGCAGCACAAAGGGCACGAATGACCAAGATCAGCAGGTGATTCAAGATCGAAAACAACAAGAACAGCACATAGATAAATTAGATAAATGGTCCATCCAACCAAAAGCGCTAAGTTGTCATATTACAATCATGTCTCGAGCATGCACCGGAACCCTAGACCAAGTTTTCAAAAGAGACAGCGCTCAACATCCAGCAGGAACATTACATTAAGATACTTAAAACTCTGACACTTCTGGCAAGCTTAAACAGGCAGTCAGCCGATTCAACTGATCATTCATGGCACTTCAGCAGTACCTACACTTCTTCTTTGACCGCAGCTGAAAAGAATTGGTTGGAGAAGCAACGCATTAGATCAAAGGTGGTATGGAAAACAGCTAAAAAAAGGTGGCATGGAATAAGAACAATGTAGGAACAAAGCCTAACCTATTTCTATCAGTAGTACTAGAAATATCTCCCAAGTGAACATGGGAAGATGTATAGCACACAGCAGTACGACACGACACACACGACGATCTAAATCAGGGATAACATAAAACCAATATGTACTACCTCCATTCCTAAATATAAGATGTTGGGGCAGTTTAAATTAAACTGCCCCAACGTCTGATTTTTAGGAAGAGAGGTAGTAGTATATTTGAGAAACCAATGAAGATCTAATGCTAGCTCATCATGGTTATATTTGGCCATCTTTCTTCAAGAACATAATCATGTTGGGTTATCATCACTAAGGAGAACACATGGATGATGCTACCCTAGATATGGAGTAAAACAATTTGCTTATTCGATCATAAGAGAAATTAGTCACACCTGGTTGCTGTGGCCACACTTCTTCTTGCGGCAACTCTTGGCCTTGGGAGGCAGGCGTGAATAGCACCTACAAAACAAAATGGTGAAAAAGGTTAGCTACAGCAGAAGCACAAATATTTCCTGTGAACTACTTATCCTGTAAGCAAAGGTATGAAACAGATCATGCATGATCAACTAAGCACTTCAGGTACCAGATAGAAGTAACAGTAAACAGTTACTACATGACACATCGTTCACAAAGAATCAGCACACTTATTGCAGGAAACAGTGATCCAAATCAGCAGTTTATACTGTAAGCATGGGCTTTTTCACGTATTGTGAGTTGTGACTGGCCTAATCAACTATAATTTCTGCAAGCGCAAGGAAATCAACCATCAAACCACTCAACCAGCTTGAGAAGATGAAGAAACAACAAGCTAATGGAACACGTAGGAGTACATGGACAATTAACAATGCAGAAATCACATGCCACCAGTGGGAACTGATGAACCAAGAAACATGGCAGATGACACTAAAGATGCTTCTTTTTTGTATCAATTATCACATTTCAGCATCTGGATTGAAGGGACTGAAAACAAAATTGCACATCATAATAGTCACATAAATAAGTATTGCATTCCAGTGATTCTATCAAAACATTCCTTGGCTACTGACCCACAAACAATTCAGATATACTACATACAGCACAAGGCCCAAACAAATTACGTAGTACTCCCTCCGTTCCTAAATATTTGTCTTTCTAAACATTTCAAATGACTACTACATACGGATGTATGTAGACATATTTTAGAGTATAGATTCATTTATTTTGCTCCGTATGTAGTCACTTGTTGAAATGCCTAGAAAGACAAGTATTTAGGAACGGAGGGAGTACATGCAAATCATACCCTTCTATGACTAGTGACTACACCACACAAAGCAGCAATTTTTATCGAACGGGAGACTGTCGGACATCCAGCATACATGCAAATCATAGCCTTGTACGACTATCACACAAAGCAGCAACTTTTATCGAACGAGAGACTGTCGCACATCCAGGTATGCCAACAAAAGGTAGCTAATTTGTTTGAGAAACAGTGCAGGGGTTTATGCATTACTTGCGGCAGATGAGCTTGCCCTGGTTGTACTTCTGAGCGAGGGCCTTGAGGTTGGGCTCGATCATGCAGCCGCCCCCGCGGAGGCGAAGCACGAGGTGGATCGTGGACTCCTTCTGGATGTTGTAGTCGGCGAGGGTGCGGCCGTCGTCCAGCTGCTTCCCCGCGAAGATGAGGCGCTGCTGGTCCGGAGGGATGCCTGCGATCGATCCAAAACACACCCCAGAGCGGATCAGCCAAAGCCAAAATCCAAGAAACGGTGGATTCAGCCTCGATGCTCGAGGAAATGGAGGGCGACGGGGCGGGGAGAACGGCACGTACCTTCCTTGTCCTGGATCTTGGCCTTGACGGCGTCGATGGTGTCGCTGCTCTCGACCTCGAGGGTGATGGTCTTCCCCGTCAGCGTCTTCACGAAGATCTGCATCTCGTCGGTCCTCCGCTCCCGCCGCTTCGCCTGTTCTTGCTTCCTCCTTCGCGAGCTCTCCGGACTGAAGGCGGGAGGGAGACGGTGGCGGGTGGTCTGCACTCTGAACTCTGGAGGCGGCGGCGGTGGGGAGAGGAGAGTGGGGGTCGTCCTTATATAGCCGGCGGCCGCGCCCACCCGCTGCGTTAGCGAAACCCTACCTGCCGGAGTTGCAGTCCGGCGCTCTAATGGTGGCGCGCCAATCGCAAATTTCGAGCTGCGTGTGAGACCTTTACTAGTGCTAATTGTCCCGTTTACCGAGACGGTAATTGCTCGCCGTCACTAATGGCGACGTCTGCCTCGGCCCATATGGATGGCCCAGCCCATACAGCTGTTCTGCGGCCAACTGGCAGTACGTCACGTCTCTTTGACCAAGGTTGAGGGGGAGCGGAGAGGCTTCTAGAGACAAACCAATCGAATGGGTAGCGTGGAGCTGCTGGTAGATCAACGGTGCTTGATGCGTGGAATGGAAAGCAGAACGCTCTAGAGGCTTCTAGAGCTTCATCAAATCAGATATCACTTCTCTATGGTTTTCAGGGCATTTGTAGCACATCCCAATTTGAGGGCAATTTTCGTTTTGAGGGATTAGGCTTCTTCTAGCAGATCCTCCACATTGTATTTTTCCTAACAATTTGACTTATTTTTCCCGAAACATAGCCTCACTTCCTCACTTTTTCTCCAACTAGAGCAAGTCTCACGACAACTGAGCAGCCGCTCGTCTCACGCAGTAATGGTCGAAAGGTCGGCGTCCAATCCGACCACTGCCAGCTATAAACTTCGGTGTCGCAC